TTACTTATATATACCATATCATCCTTTAAGCTTTTGGCTCATAATAACTCAACTTCCTTGAAAAATCCCCTGTCACCATATCAGAATTCTGTATAACATCCTATACAAGCAGTATTCATGACTTAAAACGGTTTACAGATAGTCTTCTACTTGTTAATCAGCTTACTCGTACGGAACAAACAGCGACAAATGACGGCTGACCCCGGTACAGTAAGACAAATCTGCCTGACAGTGACCAATATCAGTCTTCTGGTGTTAGTTACGATGAAAGTGTTGACAAAATTATACAAACATATCACTCATTTTGAATTAATTCCAAATTTGGATAAAAATCATAAGGTTCGATGCAATATTACGGTCTCGGCACTGATGTTGTTTATTCCAACAGGATGTGAAAAAATCCCAGCATGATGATGGAGGTGTCATTGTTGGGCATCGGTCGGCCCTATGCATTCTGGACGGACAAGATGATGTTGTTCACATACAATAGTGATTTTCTGCTTGCCACCCTAAAAAAACTTGGTATCAAAACCATTCAGTAGACATAAACCCACTGTGTATCTCGAGGAACATGAAATTAGGCAACTGATAAATGTCAGATTTAGGAAGTTCACTAAAGAATACGAGCAGTTGTACAAGTTATCAAACAGCATAATTTCCCACTTAAAATGCTGGATGAACCATATTACCCTATTTAGTATGAATGTGACACTTGTAGTCGCTGTGATCTCTCCAAGTTGTAGGGTAAGATTTCGACTGGAGACTGAAGGTTCATCCAGTTGCTTCACAATCTTCAATGAATCAAAGTATAGGATGAAAACAAATGCACTCAGTAGAAACGGCGAACGAAAGAGGTATTCTTAGGTAAAGTTGTTTCAGGGGTGGTTAGGATCGGGCCTCTCCACCCAACTCAGTGTCCTGTAAAGTCTAAGGTAACTCACTAGGCTGCCGATTGTCAAGAAATGTAGAAGGAAGGGCATCTGGATAAACGGGAACACAAGATTCTGTGGATTGGTGTTTGTAGGACTTCCTATGTATTAATAAAAGTTGTATAACCAAAACGTTAGTAGGACAGGATATAGGTCCAGAAAGCAATCGTAGGAGCTGTTTCTGACTGAGGCCAAGAAGCGGGAAAGTTCGAAAGCCCTCAAGTAATGTGCTATTCTTTCCTCCGAAAAACTTGAAAGGATGGCTGCAAGATATATATAGGTAGGCCAAACTCCACAAAGGACTTAACACTAATATTCACTGATGTAAGTGGCACCGAAAACAAGCTTTTGGAAATGAAGTTTTTGATGGATAAAATTTTCACAGTCATTGTGATTACAATGGACTGAGAAAGTCAAAGTCTGTAAAAGGGTAGAGTAGTTCGTGCGTAAGTACCTACTTGGGTATGCTTCCTCACAAATCAACGCCATACAGAGGGACATACATTCCTCGTAACATATTTCGAATGCCGAAATGCTAGCGGCCTGTTTAAACGTTGGGATGCCAAAATATTTTTATTTTACGCACTGAATCCTACTTTCAGGATTCATTTTGTTTTAATCATCCAGTCATGTGTCCGAATCGTATCATTTACTATCGCGATTATTTAAAATGTTTTTAACAGGCTTATTTACTAGTTTCTAATAAACGTAAGGAAAGGGATCATGATGGCTCGTAACGAGCTTGGAGGTGTCCTCCAGTGCATCAGATGACTGTTCCTATGATCGTGAGCACAAATTGCAGGTCGCTGTTGAACAATAATAATTACTTGCATGTTCTGTTATCTTGAAATGTTTATGTTAATACAAGTGTAACAACGCCTCAGGAAATTTGGCTCCGCGTTTCAAATGATGACAATTTAGTCTGCTTAAATAGCTTCGCTACAGAAAAGACCGACACAGTTAAGGGAGGAAGCACGGTGATGGTGTTGCCATCTTTATTACTTCCCAGTGGTCTGTTGCCCGAAGCGTCTGCTTTAAATTCTCAAATATCGACCATATAACTGTTAAATGTTCACCTGAGCACTTGTTTGGGAACAACTTCGTATTTACTACTAACATTTATGTCACACCTTGTTGTAGTCCTACAGAACTATCCATCTTTGCTGATGAATACAATGTTTTTGTTGCTGCTTCTTCTGGTAACTCATTGTCTTTATTGACTATCGCATTCAGCTCTTGTGACTACAGTTTTCTTACATAGACGAGTCATGAGGATGTTGTTAAATTTCCCACTCAGCTGGACGCTTCCCTTAATGACATGTTGTTGGCATTTACAAATGATTCTGCAGTAAACGAAGCTCGCAAGTGAGCGCCACCGTTCAACTCTGATCATCGTATTGCACGGCTTTTACCGAAAGTTTATGGAAATTTATACAAGTAAACCTTCCTATGCTTATCCAGGAACATCGCACATGGATGTTACCCTGGGGAGAATGTACAGAATATTAGACACAAGGTGGGACCTGTTCAGTGAAGGCTCACTCGATGACACTATCTGAAATTCTATCTTGGCATCTCTTGTCCCAGGGAAACAGTAATCATCAGATTTGACAGTTTCTATTCCCCTTAATTTAAAAAGTTTCGCCAGGGAAAAGAAGACTTATATAAACTGAAGGTAAATATTGGTGTGAAAAAATCAACATCTCACTCAATTCTTAAATGCAGGGGTTGAATTCAATGTATAACCATAAGTTCATTTCCCGTGAAAACGCTTGTGATATATGAAAACGTTTTGAGGAAATTACTGGTGGTAAGCAGACAAACTTTATTCCCCGTTCATTGGATGTATGTACCCTAAACAAGTCTTCCACATATTTTCCCACAAATGCCATGCTTTTTAGTACCACGAGTATTAATGAAGACTGCTTTGCAGGTTTTGAAACAAATGACGTTATAAAATGCCTCCAGTTCCTGAACCATTCTCAAAGCCTTGTTTCAGATGGTGTGCCTGGAGCTATGCTTAAAAAATGCTCAGATATCCTATGCTGTCCTATCACTGACATATTTAATGAATCTTTTTCCAGAAATGTTGCGCCAGCCGTTTGTGTCAATAACAACGTCATCTACTGGAGCACGCGTCAAGTTCAGACCCATTGCTGTAGTCTCGCCTATTTTTGCTTTTACCTAATCCCGAACCCTCACTTAAAGCCTTTAACAGCTCCCAACAATCTGACTACAAACATAGTAGAAGCACTCTAGATGCTGTCCTGCATCAAAACATCATTTCTAGTCTGAACAAAGGGGCTAAATTTGTTTGTGCCTTCCTAAATCATGCATCTATTTCTGACTCCATGGACATTTTATAAAATAGGCTTGCAGCTCTTCCCACCTCTTAGCGACTTCTAGTAAAATATTCCGTCTGACATTCCAAACTAAGAAGTTAAGTCACTCAGGCATAGCTCAACCCTTCCTTTTACAATTTATTAACTCTGGCATCTTACCTACTCACCCTTATTCTCTCCTGAGTTGTTTCAAAAAGATTATATCATACTTCGTAGGACTCTGAAAACTGTCAGTCGAGTGAGTGATATCCCATTGGGCAATATCGTTGATATCGTCATTGAGAGGCACTTAATTTCAGGCGAAAAATTTAATAAAGGGATTTTGTCACACTGTGGGCATTCGCGTCGCCCGCAGCTTCCACCCCTTAGGTAGAACAAGGAGTCATTCCAGAAGAATTTATGCGAGCTCGTCTGAGCATAAGAATTCCATGATACCACATTATGTGATGAAAACAGTGCCAGGCGTGAACTAACTAACCTTCTTTCCACTGGCAAAGAAACAATTTTCTCCATCCTCATACCGTTATCATTCCTATTATACTTATAGTGCCTTTCCATAATTATAGTCAATAAAGCTCTGTAATAATTGCTGCTTCCTGTTTTTCCACTCGTCATGTTATGCTGACAGAACACTAGGTTCGATATTCTACAACATGGTAGAATTTCCATACTGCCTCGACAATACTATTGGAAACAAACGCACTGTGATTATTATACTTATAATTCTCATTTTATACTTTGCACATTTTTGACATTATTCCTGCTGTAAATATGGAAAAGTTATTGTGGTTAATCTTTATTACATTTAGGGCAAATTAGATGCACTGTTGTGACAAGTGCTGAAAACCCCACGCTGTTTTCTAAGTACTGTTTTTGGAATAAAGCAGATCATTATTGCCATCATTATGCACAGTCCCGTTCAAGTCTCTTTTATCCTGGAGGTAGTAATATTACATTAATCTAAGGGCGTCCGCAGTTACACTGTGTTCCAGTGTTTAGGTAGAGAAAGGTCATGTGATGCGATCGTTTAAGAGTTTGTCATGCGGTTTAAATCCAATCCTATCCTCATTTTAATGTCTGCTAAAGGACAATATACAGGCTTCCGACTGTTCAGCTAGCACTGATTCGTCTTGTGATTTGAAAACAACCAAAGTTTTCGATATATTTAGGAAAATCACAGGCGTATGAGCCGTGGATGCTCCCTAATTAGCCCAGAGGAGATCCATACTGGGGTAGTAGCCAGCTAAAGAGACTGTTTTGGTATAAGGAAAGGTTGGGGAATATTCATTCACCTCAATGAATCTAGAGACTCTTAATCGATGGGGATAGTCTCAACTCATCTTTTGCCACTGTCCCCCTTGTCACACTCATATGACTACTGTAACTGTAGATTAGGGACCTATTTCTTAGTCCGTTTTCCTTCTTATGTCCACACAACAAACACTGGTTATATTCTTGTTATTCTCCCTTTTCGACTACACTGGATGCGCGATCCTAATGCATCACATACAGCTAACTACATGTAATCAGTCTCTGCACCAGTCTCCTTGGAGACGACCAAAGCTGCGGTAATCGGGTGAAGTAAGAAACTAAGCAGAAGTATACCAAAAATCAGGAATTTCTACCATACAACTAATAAGCCAGGAAAAGGAAAGCAAATTAGTGCACACGGGCTTTTATAGAGGATATTGGATATCGAAACTTTCACGTTGTTTGTTTACTTACTTTTACATCATGATAATTTACCGCTCATATTAAAAATATTTTGGATTCACGAGAAAATGTCGCTCTGTAGACAAAATTTTCATGAAGAATGCGAGGCTGGAATCAATAAGCAGATTAACATGGAGTTATATGCCAGCTATGTATACATGACCATGGCTTTCCATTTTCACCGTGATGATGTTGCACTGAATGGGTTTTATAAGTTTTTCTTGAAAGAGTCTGAAGAAGAGCGACAACATGCACTTAAGGTAGTTTACTATAATAATAACCATTATGATCTAGTTGATGACGTATCAAAACATGAGGGGTGGTCGTATTGTTTTACAAGATATCTCAGCACCTCCCCAACTCTCTTGGACTTCTGGCCTGCAAGCAATGCAAGATGCATTAGATTTGGAGAAGAAAGTCAACCAGAGTCTTTTGGATTTAATTTCAGTTGGTGAAAAACACAAAGACCATCACTTTTGTGACTTCATTACTAGTGAGTTTTGTGATTAATTATATATTCTGTGCGGTGCTGTGAATAAGTGCGGCATAATCTTCTGATGACTTTGGGATATTTAGAAGTCTCTCTAACTATGCGACTGACCAAACCTAAGCAATTCTGTTAGATTCAGAGTAACAGGTTTCGAAGCAGATAGCATAGTCGCTTCATTTTAGTACCGCTCTTTGATACCAGGCTTTTCAAAATCTGATGCATACTTTTGGTGTAAGAAACCTCAGCTAATGAAGAATTAGTTGATGAAATCGTTAACCAGCTACACCGCCAAGTTTCTCAAGACGAACTAATAGTTTACTTGAGGGATTCATAAGAGACCAAGTGGTTTGAAGGTACGTTTACCCAGAGGTGTAAGGAAGCTTCTTTTGATATTGTGGAATATTTTCATGTGAAGTAATTTTGATGCAGAAGCTGTTTACCTTATGTAAATAAATTTTCGAGATTTTAGACTTCTTTTAGGAGTTGGATGTGTTTATACATGGTGGATAGATAATATGAAATAGCAACGATGATGACTATGGTTTGAAGTGAACATGTGGGGGTGGGGGGTAATTTTCAATGAGTATATGTTCTGTATCCTCCTACCGTGAATCTCAGGATTATTTTGTAGGTAAAAATGGCTAACTCTTATTACATTTCAAAACAGTGTTGTGGCGCATCTTTTCAGTTCGATGGATTTCATTTCGAAATAAAATTACCATGAATACTGCTGACAGACAGTATAACATGCAAGTTTTTTATAATGTTTAGAAAGTTTGTTGCAACTGTCCTCTCTCCCGGTACTTTTAGTATGGTCGCTTTTATTAATAAGTATTCAAAATTGTCTGAGTGGAGTTTGAAATCTGTTGTGTTAGATGAAGTGCTAGTTTATCACACAAGTTGACATTTAGCTTACTTTTTATCTAGTCAATCATTGTTTGTATACTTTAATGTTATTTGGTTTCTTTTAACCTCTTTTTCTTACCTTTAGATGAATACTTGGAAACTCAGGTACAATCTATGAAACAACTTTCAAATTATATTACCAATCTACATCGTGTCGGTAACGGTCTTGGAGAATATATCTTTGATAAGGAGACTTTACATGGAGAGAGCCAGTGATCTGGTTTACTCAGATTATTATTATTATTAGCTGTGTGCTAACTTCAATAAACATTATTTTGTAAAATCAATAATGCAAATAGATAATTCTGTGTATTGTAAAGCTTACTTGAGTGTTATTTTAACTGCTGCTAGTAACTACTAAAATATAATTACGTGAACATGTATAAAATTATTTAAACGCATGAGATTGAGATGGTTTTCAGTAGAACTTGTAACAAATAGTTCATACGGTTAAGATATACCGAAGTATACATTCTTCATTCATTTTAAGAAGTGGAATATAACTGAACTTAATCAACTATGATTGCTTTCATGACATATTGTTTTTGAAACAGTAATGATTTCAGTGCCAAAACTGTGAAGCATATAGGCTGCATCACAGAGTGTGTTTGTAAACTCCGACATCAATATGTGCTGAAGTTATTATTCTGAATACGTACGAAATACTTGCTATACTTCACTGTTTGAGGCCTTTTTGAAGTCTGTTTTCTATGATATTCGCCTTCTGTCATATACTGGAGAGATTGATAGGGTAACCGGAGCATCTCTTGACCGTTAGTAGATGGGAATGATCTCATGAACACTTGTTTTCAGACACGCTAGATTATCCTACTTTAAAAGATTAGTCGGTTTGTGATATAGTTTTATATAAGCAATATTGTAGACTGAAGTGATCCAGCTGGAACGGGGGGGGACTGTAGTCTGCCTATTTGAAACTCTTTCATGGTATTACAGGTTCACAGCCTCTATCAAGTTGGTGCCTACTGACTACCCTCATTTTGTAGGAGTGTTCCAGAAAAAGCAAATCTTTTATTTTCAAACGTCCAAAGCTTACCAATGGAATTGGGGATGCAGAAGGTCCACCTAGGGAAGTGGAGAACCTTGATTCTGAATTAACGGTGCACATAGGCTACATTATCCAAAAGAAACGAATGGTGGGTGGACATGCTTTGCAAAATCCTCTGAAGACTTATGGATTATTTTTCAAATCCAAGTCTACGACAGTGGTCGCCTAACACAGCCATCTGTTTTGAGTTAAATATATATTTAAGCCCTCGTACAGACTATATAGAAACCGTTTGATGGGAATTTCAATACTATCACACTAAATGGCTTATATTCTGTATTAAACCATTTTGTTGTATGTCTCAATTATTTTCAAGTGTGAACATTTTGCTTTATTGGTGTTATTTTAAACCTCCATTTCAATGAGCTTCTCATACTTGTTTAACATTTTAGACTGTTTGTACTGTTTTGAGCTATAAAATAGTCGCTTTCAGGAAACTGTCCTTCAGTTTAATGTACAACTTGACTTGTGTCACACTAAGCACTAGGATCAAAGTTATGGTGTCTCGTAATCGACAGTTATCAGCTGTTATGTTGTGAGGTTGCATTTCTGTAGAAGGGACTGTCTAAAAAGTGCAATGTCTTTTCTACTTCTGTCTGGCTGCTAAGTGATCGCAGCACAATGCTAGCTGGAGACTTAAATGCACAGATTGAAAGTCTGGACTCAGAAGAGAGTCGTTTTTGATGTAGTTGCGTTCTCTTGGCTACAGATCTGCATTATTTTAGAAGAGAAGTTTTCTCAGTTGGTTAACATCAATCTACCTAAAGAAGAGGAGATAAGAACAGAACTGTAAGTAATGAAGTGCTAGAGGGCAACAAACCCAGATGACTCACCTCAGACTGTCTGTCTGTTTTCGACATAGAACTTTGCACATATGTGCGGCAGTTCAAGTCGCCACACTCCATGTAGCACACAAAGGAAGAGAAGAAAGTAGGAGAAATGCATAATATAGACAGTAAACAGAGGTGTGAGACAAAGGAATAGTAATAACGAAGAACAAAACAGTTTCATTGGAAATCATAAGTCACAAGGAGTGGATGCATCTGCGCCACTGAGAACGATTTTGAGCCATGTCACCGATTGTTTCCAACCATTGGTTTTTACCGTCCCGAGGACCCCAACCAGGAAGCAGTCTACACCTTCCTACGTGGCTTAGACTAACTGTTGTGGATTTCATTGACTGGTGCCATGTTTTGGTTTGACCGCCGCTAGCTCTTTTCCAGCCTGACCCTATATCAGCTAACATTGCCCGTCGAGGAAGGCGATGACTAGGCATACGTAACACATGTCCCAACCATCTCAGTCGATGTAATTTCACAGTCTCATCGATTGATTTCCCCTCCTTACCTAGCACTCGACCACGCCTAACCTCAATATTGCTCACCTTATTATACCACTTCACGCGGGAGATGGAACGCAGACACCTATGATCGAAGACAGCTAATCTTTTCATGTCTTCTGCTCTCAATGGCCAGGTCTCACAGCCATAAAGGAGGACGGAGCGGACTGTTGAGCAGTACACACGCCCTTTGGTCGATAGTCGGATATCGCGTCTACGCCAGAGACGGCGTAAACTGGCGTATGCGAACCTAGCCCTCTGTATTCGTGCTGAGATTTCGTCGGCGATCAACCCGTTGGGGCTGATGGTACTTCCCAAGTAATTGAAGCGGTCAACGTGCTCTACCACTTCACTTCCTATTTCTAATCTAGGGGTCGGTGAAGTCCAATCCTGCAGCATCATCTTACATTTTACAGGGGCGAATCGCATGCCAAACATTCTTAGATTGCAGCTCAAGGTGTTCAGTAGACTCTGCATTTTGTCAGAGTCCTCGCCTAGAAGGACTATATCGTCCGCATATTCTAAGTCAACGAGATTCTTCCCTGGTAGCAAGTCAATCCCTGAGTCGCTGAAGTGAGTTAGGGTTAAGTCCATTAGTACATCTATGATGAAGTTGAATAGGAATGGGGATAATGGGCATCCTTGACGGACGCCACTAGTCGTCACCACTTCAGATGACAACTCGCCATAAGCCCTCACCTGGCTGCATGAGTACGAGTAGAGTGCCTTAATCAGTGCAATGTATTTTCTCGGCATTCCCTTTACAGCCAAGCATCGCCAGAGAACCTCCCGGTCGACAGAATCGAATGCCGCCTTTAGGTCAAGAAATATAATGATTGTCGGACGCCGGTAGGAATGCCTATGTTCTAGAATCTGTCGAAGGGTGAAGATATGATCAATACACCCTCTACCTGGCCTAAAACCTGCCTGGTTTTCTCGTGTTTGTGTCTCCCGAGCACCACTTAGTCTACGCAGTATTATTGAGCCTAGGATTTTAGATACTATATTAGTCAAGCTAATGCCTCTGTGATTATCACAAGAAGACTTGTCTCCCTTCTTGTATATCGGGATGATCAGTGACTTACACCAACCCGATGGGACTTCCTCTGATTCCCAGACGCTGCCTAGAACCTCAGTTAACGCAGACAGTAAACTGTCTCCACCATACTTAAATACCTCTGGAGTCAATCCATCAGGTCCCGCTGCTTTGCCTTGCTTCAGATTAGTGGCTGCTCTAGTAACCTCAGTTAGGGACGGAGGACCTGTGTCTATATCCCATTCAGGGAGGTGTTGGATGTCCGGCAGGCTAAGTGTGGATGTGGGCCAATTAAACTGCTCCTCGTAGTGTTCTTTCCAGCGCTCCAGACGTCTATCCTGGGAGCTAATTATGGTGCCATTTTTCTCGGAGATTGTTTCGCTTATCATTTGCCTTTTACCACCTGTTTCCCTGATAAGCCTGAATAGTTGTCTGGTGTTGCCTATCGCCGATGCTTTTTCCATCTCTTTCGCCTTTGTCAACCACCACTGTTCACGGTCCTTGCGGAGACTTTTCGTAAGTTTCCTTTTGTGCAGCTTTCGCTCCTCATTGAATTCGGAGCTCGCCGGAATAAGTCTTCTAGCATCTATCAGTTCGGATGAGGCAGTCGAAATCCAATGGTTTTTACTCACCTTTGGATTTACCTTATTCACAGCTTTTACAGCTGTATCTATGGCTGATTGAATATTCTTCCAGGCTTCTTCAGGGTGAGCGCAGCTGTCGAACTCAGATATGTGTTTAGCTAGTTCTTCCTCAAATAGGGACTTAGTTTGCTGATCGAGCTGGGGACGTGATGGTTTTACCGCCAGCTGTTTCCTACGTCCGTTCAGTCGTAAGCACACACGAGCGCGGACCAGTGCGTGATCGGTATCTACACACGTGTTCCAGAAGGAGCGGCAATCTCCTACCGACCCACGCCAACGATAGCTTATTGCTATGTGGTCTATTTGTGTCCAGCGTTGATTTGATGATGGGGGTCGCCAAGTCAAACAGTGTCTGTCCTTGTGTTTGAAGTTAGTGCTTACAAGAAACAAATGATTATCTGAACAGAACTGTAGGAGACGGTCACCGTTGTCGGTTCGCTGGCACGGAATTCCGTATGTGCCACCGACATTCTTCTCAGATTGACACAATTTCCCTATTTGAGCATTAAAGTCACCAGCTAAAACGACAATATCTGAGCGTTTAGCCTTTCGCAGCAAACTAGACAGCTTTTGGTAGAACTCATCCTTCGTTTCATCCGAACTGCAGTCAGTGGGGGCGTAGGCGGAGATTACGAAAAGGCATCGGCGGGTAGTGCAGTCCTTTCTCCTTTTCACTGATCCGTTCAGACGGACAGCACACATTCGGCTATCTACCGGGATCCAGTCAAGTAATGTCTTTTCTGCCCTAGTACTTAAAGCTATCCCAACACCAGCTAATCCTCGAGAGCTAGCCGTCGCATCTCCTGACACCCTCAAGGTGAATTTTGCAGATTCATCCTGTTGGCCAGGTGGGGTTAGGTGAATAACCACACTTGGGTCTTGTATGCGTGTTTCTGAAACACAACATACATCAATGGCTCGGGATGCCAGAGTCTTGGCTAGTGATGCCTGTTGTCCTATTTGGCAAAGTGTCCTAACGTTAAATGCCCCTATATGAAATTGGTGGCGTGGCTTTAGGAGACTATCGATGGTGGCTTTTTGGCTTCCATCGTTATCAGTGCACACAGATTGAAGAGGAAGTGAAGGGCCATCAAGTAGAGGAGTTGCATTGGTAGAAGGAAGGCAAGATAATAGAGATGAAGATGGATACAAAGATGAGTGAGGATTAGAGAGGTTTCGCGTGCACTTCGGAGTGTGAGGGCGATTGTTACTTCCCGGCTGCCCACACCGTGGAAGTTGGTTGCGTGACCGCAGAGCCCAGGGGACAACTGCTTGAGGCCGGTCACACACGGCCTGTTTTTGTTTGTTCTTTTTTATTTGGTGTGTCTCAGTAGCGTATTTATCACTTCTGCCCTGTGACACGGCAGCAGGAAGCGCGGTCGTTGTTAATCCGGGCCCCGACCGATCC